TTTTTTTTTTTTTTTTAAGTAGGCTCCACGCCCAGTGTGGAGCCCATAGTGGGGCTTGAACTCACGACCCTGAGCTTAAGACCTAAGCTGAGATCAAGAGTCGGACCCGACTGAATTATCCAGGCACCCCTGGCATGGGTTTACTTTTAAGAAGGATTCCCAGGGCCTGCTCCTGGTGAATGCTGATTCAAGATGTGGGGTGGATTCCTGGAATCTGTATCTTTAACATACGCCCCAGGTGACTGGGGAGCCAAACCACAGTCACCTGACATTTGGAACCCCCCCCGTATAGGAGCACCAGCCTCAGCTCTGAGGAGGTGAGGATCTGCTGAGCCTAGACAAAGAGCAAGAGGAAAGGACTGCACCAAGGGAATTCTACTGTCTGGTGACGAAGAGGGAAGAAGGATCCTCAGACAAATGCCTAGAGGCCTTTCTTATCAAGAATGCTTAGTTGCTCACTTGCCTTTAAAGGAGCAAAAGCGTAGCTGGGCAAGGCTCCTCACCATCAAAAGGAACTTGTGGAAATATTCAACTTCTGGGTGTTAACTCTGAGAATCTACCAGCCCTGACTTAAGCCAAGGAACCCAGGGGAGCCTGCACAAGCCAAGCCAAACCCAAGTGCATTCCTGAGCAGGGGAAGGTCAAGGGATTCCTGAGGAGAGAGGCCCAATAAGGTTGGTTGCGGTTTCTGATCTGTAGAGAGAGCCAGAGATAAGCAGGGCCATTTGAATGGCCCATCATTCTCAAATGCAGCTTTGAAAATCCTGGCAAACCAGGTGAAAACTGGGCATGACTAACACCTCAGGCTCACGAAAAGCCAGCGAAGTGTGACTATGGCTAGAGGAGGTGAGCTTCCTCCCGCGTGCTTCTGCTGAGCCAACAGCTTCTCTGAGTGGACACAGCAAGCAAAGGGGTGTAGACTGCTGGCTCCAGAGTCACACCACCTGGGTTTGAACCCCAGTTCCTCCCAGTGTTGGCCATATGACCTGGAGCGAGTCAGCGGCCCTCACCAAGCCTCCTTACCAGGCAAGTGGGCACAAAGACAGAACAACACCAAACAACCCTCAGGAAGTACTTAGTATCTATCTAGCCTGGCAGACAGCGTATCCTTAATGGGAACGCTAGTATTTAAAAGTCCTGCCATGACAACATCTCGTACCCTCTGGAGGCAATATATAAATTTTATTTATAAACATTTATTTAGAATTTATTCTGGGGAAGGGCCTATGCTAGATATTGCTTCTCTGCACAGAAAAACGAGCTTGCAATTGTTATGGGAGCCAGCGTGTGCCCTAACACTGTGGAGCCAAGGCACAGCAGAGTCACGTTTTATCACGTCAGCAGGTCCTGGCCACTTGCTAGAGCTGGTTACTGCCCGAACTGTTATCGATGGGCAGTGGGGGCACACGGGCTGGGTCGTCACTGGTAGAGCTGGGAGGATAGCCTCACCCCAGTTAACGCACACTGAGCTCCTTCTGTATGTAGGACTGAGAAGCAGTACCCCTAGGGGTTAATGACAGCCCAGCGTGAACCTAAAATGAATTCCTGGTGAAAAGCATAATAAGCAGGGCAACAGCGTTCCGAGGGCCCTTTCTATCTCTTAACCACTGACTACAGCCACTCAGGGGGACTAAGGAGACGGGCCAGCTGCGCACTTACCATGGGCTTCTGGTGAGAAGGGCCAGGGATGGACACTCCACTACTCGAGTTCACTGCCTTCTTGGTCACCTGCACGTACACCTTCCCGTGGTCTTTGGAGACGAGGCAGTGGTAGAGATCGTCGTATTTGACTTCCAGGAAGATGGCCTCTCGATCCACATAGTCCCCACTTTTCAGGAAGTAAACGGCCTTGGAGGAGATGAGCACACAGTAGCTGTCGATGTTCTCCACGGCTATGAAGCTGCCGAGGAAGGGGGGAAATCAGTATGGCACACCAAGCCAAGCCTCAACCCGCGACAGCAGGGCCGATCCTGGTCACTGAGCCAACAGAAGGGGAGAAGGCCTGGTGCCGGCTCCTGACCTCGAGTCCAGGCTCCCTCACGTCTACTACACCTTGAGCCTCAGTTTCCTCATTTGCAGATTAGGAATAAAAGTGTCACTGACCTCCTGGGGCTGTACAGCATGGGGCCCCCTACGCAGGGGTGCTCGAGAAAGGCGGCTCGTGACGACGACCAACAGTATAAACAAGAGAAACCACTTTATATCCTGATATTGCATTGTGTGGGGGGGTTTCCTGCAGCGAGAGTTTTTAGGGAGTTTAAGGCCCAGAGGAAATGTACCCAGGCTTTGTTGGACACAAAAGAAGAGGAAAATACAATGCTTTTCACTACTGATGAAGTAGCCACTGACAACGTTCACTGCTATGCAGAGGGGTGAACGCCAGGGCCCCGAAGACACCAGCGGGGTGATGGAGATGCGGCCCAGAGTGGGGTGTGGGGGGGTGACTGGGAATTAAACAGGGTTCCCCAGCTGGCGGGTGCGGGAAGACGGCGTCTGCTTCCTTCCTTGTCCGGGTCTCCGCTCCACACCTCAGTGACAGGGAAGCCTGGAGAATGCCACTGCATGTTCAGAAAAGTCTAATAAATTAGAAAGTGCTTTCTGAAGCTGTAATCTTGATTTGACTAACATTCAGTCATCACTTGGAGGGGCGGTAGGGCCGCTCGGAAAAAAAAAATCCCATTCCTCTTCCTCCATGGAGCTCCCAGATTTAAAGTGGAAATTTATGCATGTCAGACCTTTCAGCTCGGCTCCTGAATGAAGGGCAGTGACCCTTGGAAACGGCCACGGCGGCTCTCCGGGGCCTGGCCGCCTCCGCGGCATCTTGTGACAGCCTGCCACAATGGGGCGGCCACGTCGAGGGACAGCAAAAGAGACCAGATGACGGCAAGAATACTAAGAGCTGACGACAGGCTGGCTGTCAAGCTCTGGCCCCCTGGGACTTGATGTCCTGAGAGGAATTTCCAAACTGTAGCCGCTGAACCAAGGCTCCCCCTGGAGCTGCTTGGGGACTGGGGTCCCAGGATGGCTTTGTTTCTCAGCGGTCACCAAACGGCTGATGGGACGAAGGCCCGCCCACCGGGGCCCCGGCCGCTTTCCTTTCAGACCAGAGCATATGCCAGGCCCTCGCTCACCTGCAGGGTCACAGATCCACCCCTGCCCCCCTCAGGGCACAACCTATCCAAAGCCTCCCCACCTGAGGATTTCCAAGTTCCAACTTCTCCACGGAGCCTCCCTGAAATACTCCAAACCTGCCCCCACGTTTGACGGCTTAACTGCTTACCTTCAAAAGCACTGCTAAACACGGACTTGGCTCTCTAAGCTGATGTCAGAGTGGGGTCCCTATCCTACACCCCCATGTCTCCCTGAGAGCCCACCACTACTGAGTCAGCCACCCCCTACGTACTCAGCAAGTATCTGCCTGTTCCTGTTGCCATTTTAATTACAGCCTTGCATGACAAAAATTGGGGTTTATTGTTCTATTCGAACTGGTTGGCAATGCCAAGAATGCAGACTTGTAAAGTCTCAATGCCAAAATTAGAAATACCCAGCAGCTTTTGGTGTTCAGGCCACTCAGCACAGAATTTCCCACATTCTGGGTTCTGACAGTAACAAGGGGGCAGCGTTATCGCTTCATCAAACTGAATGGAATCTAAAACAGCTCGTCCAGGGGGAAGAAAAGAGGCAACAGAGGGAGACAAACGGAAAGAGAGAGAAAAATGAGAAAAGCATCCTGACATAGACAGGAAGTGCCACTGGGCCAGGACTTGCTGAGCAACTGGCATGAACACTGAAAACGCACGATGGTTTCTGAGCACAGGTGGGCTGGGCATGCAACGGGCTCCCAAAGGAGACCCCAAAGTCAGCCGCCGCAACTGGGGTGAGAGCAGGAACGTGCACTAAAAATCCGACTGAGGGGCGCCTGGGTGGCTCAGTCTGTTAAGCGCTGCCTTCAGCTCAGGTCATGACCCTGGGGTCCTGGGATCGAGTCCTGTGTTGGGCTCCCTGCTCAGCGGGGAGTCTGCTTCTCCCTCTGCCCCTACCTCTGCTTGTGCTTTCTCTCTCTCTCTCTCTCAAATAAATAAAATCTTTAAAGAAAATAAATAAAAATCCAACTGAGTTTATTTCCTTTCCTCTGGTCCAGCACGGGATGGACCTACCCCAGGACCCTTGCCCCCACTCTCACCCGTTGGCACCTGCAGTGGCTGACACTGAAGCACAGCCTCTCAAAAGCCAGGCCTTTCCATCCGGGCAGCTGTTCTCACAGCCGGGCCAGGGTGGCTAACATTATTAGCGCACTTTCCATACAGGAACACTTTTATGGGCTTTAAAATAGACTCCTTTCCAAGATGCCACGGAGGGCGCAAGTCCTCAGTCCGGCCAGAGCCGCCGCGGGAAGAAGGGTGGCTCTGAGCTCGGAGGCCATACGGTGGCACTTCCCACATATGAGGAAACAGTGCCAGGCCGGGCGACTCTGGGCAGGCCAGCTGCCGTCCCTGTGGCTCGGTTTCTTCATCCGACAGAGGTGATGCTACCTGCCAGGTTCTTTACCAAGTAGCAGAGTCTCAAGGATTCATGGCCAGACCTCTGTTCTGTGACCAGGGGCCCTGTTCATACCCTGCCGTCACCACAGGTAATAACACTCTTTGGACGTGTGTGTCAACTCTTTGGAGTCTTTTCCAATCAACAGCAGATCAGAGCCAACGGTACAATCGAGGGGAGGAGAAAGGGAGAGAGTGAAGCCATGGCTGGGCTTCACTGCCTCCCCGAGTGCCGTCTGAGCGAGAACCCAGAGCCTGACTTTGCGACAGCTCTGCCTCCCCATTTTCCTCCTGACGCCTCCCTAGCACTCCTGCCACCAGCCACCGATGCTTTGGGTTTCTTCGTCATCATCATCATCTTTTCTTTTTTACAAAATCTAGAAACCACATCAAAGGATGATTAAAACAAAGCTGTAGACTGGGGGTTCCCTGCTATGGAGACAGATGGCAAACGCATCAGTCGTCCACCGGAGGAACCACAACTCGGGGTGACCGGAGAAGCCAGCCAAGGCAGCGCACTGGGGCCTTCCCCTCCGCAGTGGCGCCATCCTCTGTCCCTTTCTTTCTCAGAGCCACAGGGCTTCCAGCCCTTCCTGGCCATCCAACCACAAGGACAAGAAGCCCGGGGGTCACTCTCACCCCCTCCTCACTCCAATTCTGTATTTAGTCAGTGCTGATGCTACCTCCTCAAATACCCTCAACTCTGTCCCCCCCACTCCCACTCCCAGCCACCGTCTATGTCGCTGATGTGGATCATGCCCAGGGGCACCCGCCACCGCCTTCCTGTCTCGTCTCTCCGACTCTGATCCGTTTCTCCGCTGCCGGCAAGGTTACATTTTGAACGCGTGATCTGGAGTGGGGTCCTCTTCAAAATCTCACCACTGCCTACAGAACAGGTGAACTCGGTATGGCTCTTAGGATCTGGCCTGTGGGCCACCGTCCCACACGGATGTTACCGCCACACTTGGCGGACCCCAACCGTCCAGAAACGCCAGGAGCTCGGCCACCTCTGCCCGGCACCCTTCTCTCAGCGGCTTTCTCTCTTCTCTCCCGGACACAATCTCCCTCATCCTGCAGGGCCGGGCCAACTGTCCACCGTCTTCCCCGGCTCTCCAAGCATAAATTAATCACTTCCCCTTGAGGCCTCATAACACACGGCTCACACTTCTATTTTAAAAGCAATCATGTGTTATAGGTAGTTGGTAATACCATCCTGCTTCCCCTGCTAGACTGCAAACCCGTCAAGGAAAGAGCAAATTTCTTACTCGTCCTGGCACAGAGTAGCATTCAATACACTTACTTACGTGTTAGGTAGTCTTACAAAATGACAGTGAATTTACATTGTAAGGTCCGGTGGAATTCGCCAGAACACGTGCAACTTTGTATGTTGCATATATTTTAACCAGTAGTAAAGTTACAAAACTCTCTTGGAACTCTTGATTTAACTTTTTAAAGATTTAATCAAGCCATTAACTTTTATCAGCATAGCTGGCTAATTGGTCACACAAAAGTTTTTATGTAGGGGCATATCAAAGAACATCCAATTCCCTAAGTGTCAATGGTTATTGACAGATTATTATCCGGTTTAGAAAATGGAAGCTAATGAATTTTATCCCATTCCTCAAAAGGACCTGTCTTTCGTTTTTGTTTTCGGACTGTATATGTTACTATAAGGTTTATATTGATGATTCTATGCTGTTAGAATCAACACTATAACCTGTGCTCTAAAAAAATTTCTGATTTCTGTCTCTATCTGCAATTTGTCAGGAAGGATAGAACAGATCGAAAATACCAAAAACAGTATGTTTACAAAGAGGGCAAGAAAGGAAAATTTTACTCTTGATTTCATTTCTTTTTGTACTCTGAATGTGCTGACCATGTGCATGAGTTTCTTTCATGGAGAAAGAACTTGTTTGGCTGGTGGGTTTATAGGCTGTTTTTCTTTTTTTTTTTTTTAATACTTCTTTGTATTAAAAAAAAAAAATCTCGTAAATGTTATTTTCTGAAACTACATTTTGAAAATAGAACCTAGCTGTCAAACTCCAGAAAACAGTATCAGGTCACGTGTGTGGCTCACAGGCACCTACTTTGATCAGGTCAAGAGCCACCCTAATGCTTGCAATACTGGTGTCTCACTTTGTCTGTGATAAAGTATTAGAAATAAAATAGGAACTTTCTTTTCCTTTCCTTTTTTGTTTTTGTTTTTTTTTTTTTAAGTGAAAATGAGGTCCCTGGCTACAGATTAGATGCTAGTTATAAGGCAAAATTAATGTAATCAGATGGGACAAATTTACTTTAACATCATCTTAACCCAGGATCCTATTTCAAAACCCAAACTGAAAAGAATGGGAAGCAATGGTAAGTCTGTAACATACCAGAGAAACAGTCGATTCTCCTGAAACCGAAGCCTTTTCAGCTGGCCAGACCTTAAATCCTATGTCAGTAACTATCTTTTTAATACTAATTAATTAAATAAAATGAAAAATTAAATGAAACTTGATCTGGGAGGACAAAGTTGAAGTGCCCATGGCACTGGGGACTTTGTGGGGTTTTCACTACATCAGGAAGTAATTACACAACATTTTCCAGAAGTGAAACAGTGAGTCTAACTGGAAAAAAATGTGGAAACATTTAGTTAGAACAGTAGAGCAAGGTATTAAAGACCTTTTAAGGGGTTAACTCTGAAGGAAAATATGCAAATAATTAGGTCTTTAAATATGTTTTTAATTACAATTCTAGGATAAAAGTCAGAGGTATAATTTGGCACTTGTGTGCTTTTCTTGAAAACCCCTTTCTTGCAAAGTGATGATTCTAATGTTCACGTCACCGTGAAGACCCAGCCTGACAACCGAGGATACTTCAGAGAATTTGCCGGCTTCCTTGATGACTTCTTCCTTGTACCCGAGGATGGCCACGGTCATGTGCTTTCTTCAACATTCACTGGCAAGATTTAACCCACAAACTTGGGTAGCAACACATGGTTTTCATCTTTAGAGTCAAAACTCATTCATGCCAATATCCTTCCCCAGTTCATATGAATATCAAGAGTTTCATGAAATCGATTTTACTGACTTCAGTTTGATTCCAGTTTTCAGCCGAACGTGGCTCTGTTTTCAATGTGCGTGTCTCACTGGGAACAATCCTGGGTTAGCTGTACCACACAATCTCTCCCTTGTGTTTTTGGCACATGTCATTCTACTGAAAATGAATTTTGTAAGGGCCAGAGACAGTTCGAATTGAATAGGGGTGAGTGGGGGAGGAAATTAAAAGCACAACGTATAATACTTTATAATCTCAATCTTTGACCAAAAAACCCCCAAAAGATGGCAAAGTGAACACACATTAATATAATGCTATACCACAGCTCTCCAGCTATCACTGATTCAACAGATATTTCCTGAGTGCCTGTCATGTGCCAGGGACCGTTCTAGGTGCTGAGCATGGCCTAGTGAATGGAACAGACAAAAATCCCAGTGCTGCTGGGGCTGCCATTCTAGCCCTGCTAGACCTGAGGCATGACTCTCAGGGCCTCTGATCCAAAAGTTCCACCATGCCACCAAATCCTCCCCAAGCAGGCAGGAATAGAAAGTCCTCCCCGGAGTGAAGCTGCCTGGGGAGTCCCTTATTGCAATGGTGATCAGAGCTGGGCCTAGACTTAAAAAGCAGAACATATTCAAGAAGCATACTGCAGACAGAACTGTGTCCCTGCAGAATCCTTATGTTGAAGCCCTGTTTGGAGGAAGGAAGTAATTAAGGTTAAATGAGGTCGTAAGGGTAGGGCCCTGACCCTATAGGATTATTGTCCTTATAAGAGACACCAGAGCTCTTGCCGGCTCGCTCTTGGCCACGTGAGAACACAGCCAGAAGTTGGCCATCTGCAAGGCAGGAGGAAAGCTTTCACCAGAAACCAAACTGGCCAGTGCCTTGATCTTGGACTTCCCAACCTCCAGAACTGTGACAAAATGGTGCTTTTTATGGCAGCCTGAGCTCAGACAATATTACGCACCGCCATCCTCAAGAGACCTTCCAGTAACACTGCAGGGGGTTTGGGTTACACAAAACACATACATCCAGGAAGAAGCCATCTTATCCAGTAAGCAGCAAATGATTTCTGGACTTAATTTTTTTTTTTTTTATTTGCGAGAGAGAGAATGAGAGACAGAGAGCATGAGAGGGAGGAGGGTCAGAGGGAGAAGCAGACTCCCCACTGAGCAGGGAGCCTGATGTGGGACTCGATCCCGGGACCCCAGGATCATGACCTGAGCCGAAGGCAGTCACTTAACCAACTGAGCCCCCCAGGCGCCCCTGGACTTAATTTTTGATGTTTCCATTCAAATACCGCTACAAAAATATGAGATGAGGTCAGCTGAGCACTGTCTTGAACAATGACAATGAAGGCTATCCTCTGCTTCAGAAACTCCTCCATCAACCCAGACATATTCACAGCCCTCAGAACCCTCCCTTTCTTGCTTTAGCTTAAAGGTGATAAGTAAGCATTAAAAGAAATTAAGCGAGCATTTTGCTACTCATCAGGCATAACCAAATGCCTTCTCTGGACTGGTGGTTCTAACACCCACTTAAGTTACAGAGCATTTTCTGCTAAAAGGGTCTCTGCAGAATATCCTGAAAGAGTGATAAACTGAATCGTATCACACCAACCTGGAATAATTTCACTAACTGAAGATACATACCCGAGGTATGTAAGGCTTCCCATTCAAAGAGTAACAAAACAATGTTTTAAAGATTGCTTTTCTAAAATTTTCAGCCACTAGTTGTCTGCCGTTTGTTTACCTGTTTTGTTTCACTAGGCATTCTGCAGCAAACAGTAGAACACCAAAGCTTAAGGACGTTTCACACAGAAAAAAGCCTTAAAGTTGGGAACGTTTTATTCCTTATCGTCTCTCTTTGAACAAACTAGGAAGAGACTGCCATTTTCGAGAAACAAAACACTGAGGTCTCAGTGTGGAGCTCAGTTTGAGAACCACTGCTTTGAGTAAAAGGCTTTGGACAAGTAGTTATACCTACACCTGTAGAACGTTTGGGCCAAGGAATCTCTGACAAGTTCCAAGGTCTAAGAGGCACGGCGATGCCCAGAACAAGAGAAACTTCTTGGACTTGATAGAAAAGGCAATGAACGCAGTGAGCCAACAGGGCGGGTTTCCCATGGCTCCACTTACAATTCATCTTGAATGTTGTCCGTTAGCTTGAAGAGCTGCTCCTGCCCTTCTGCCTGGCTCTCCGAGTATCGAGGAAGCAGCCCTTGGGGCCCACTGCAGCAGCGCGGCTTCCGAACCCTCTGGGCCTGAGTCCTGCACAGGGAAAGGCACACCAAGCAGGGAGGTTAAGTGTTATGGTTCAGAGGATCTCCCTTCCTCATCTGAAATAAAAAGCACTACGTCATACAAGGCATGCTCTGAATTTAGTGACCAGAACTATGCCGCAGCATCACCTGTGAATGCACAAGGAGGGAGCCGTTCGAGACTCTAGTTTTGTTCTGTTGTTGTTGTTTTGTTTTTTAAGATTTTATTTATCTGAGAGGGAGAGTGAGGGAGCACGCGAGCACAGAGGGAGAGGGAGAAGCAGCCTCCCCGCCAAGCAGGGAGCCCGACGCGGGGCTCGATCCCAGGACCCTGAGATCATGACCTGAGCCGAAGGCAGACACTCAACTGACTGAGCCACCCAGGTGCCCTGAGACTCCAGTTTTGACAAGAACCCTGTCTCTGCCATGTCCTGACTAGGCGACCATGGACAAGAGAGTTCGCTTCTTTGACGCCAGGTTCCAGTTTTCTCTGTAAAATGGGAGGAGGACACATACCTCACAGGACAGCTCGTGGAGCCTGTGCTGGACAGGATGTGGGCTAGCCACCAGTGACGGCTCCTGTTGTTGTTATTACTGAGACTTCTACTTGGGAAAACCCCGCTTTTCTAGGAATCTTTAGGAGAGGCGCCTCTGGACTTGCAAGGGCCAGGAAGAACAGTGAGGGGGCCTGGGCATCTAGGAAGCACATGCCAGGCTTCTGGACTTCTGTTAGGAGGAGTTCAGTGCCTGGGCACAGGGCAAGGGACACAGGAATTCTGGGAGGGCGAGGAGAGGCTCCATGGACTGGGCCCAGGCCACAGTCTGGGATTCTGCAGCGGCTCTAACTCATGCCACTCGGCTGTCAGTTGCCCAAAGGAATCTGCTTTGCCATGGCTTTCAGGGTAGGCTGATGTTGTCTTTTTCCACAAACCATATACAGGGTAATTGATAAGTACTTTTCGGTGTTTTCCTAGAAACAGGAGTCCGTATTTGTCTTGGAAAGGCTGTGCATATTTCAGATGACTGATAAGAGTGTGCCGGGTCTGTCCTCAGCCTTGTACTCGCTGTACTTTTCATTATTTGTTCCTGGATTCCACTGAAGCAAAACATCCCTCTCTAGACACAGCTAACAGAGAGGAGTAAGGCTTGAATCAGCACTGAATCAGCACTTCAGAACCATGTACTAATGGCAATGTAGAGACTTACTTACAAAGGCACAGAAGTGCCCTAGTGGGCAAACAGGGGTAGTAATATGGACAGAAACAGCCAGAAACTTGCCACAGGCCACGCAATGAGGTAGCGGTGAAACTGGGACATTGCAAAGCACTCCTGGACCCAGGTCAACACTCTGCTCTGGGCCATGATGCATGAAGTCCTATACCTGGTTAATGTTTGGTATGTGCAAGAAAGCCAGAAAGCCAGTGATAAATTTTTAAAAGTTCAGGACTAAGGATGCCCTAGATACCACTAATTGAGCTCTTCAAGGGTGATGTAAGGAGACTGTCAAGAAGTTTCAATGATCTGTACTAAGAGAATGGGTAAAAAAATTTTTACTTACATCATGTACTCATATACTCCCACCACACATAGTCTCAATCTCTTCTTCAAGATTTAGGCCCTCTAAATATTGGCCTAAAGATTTAGTTGGCTCTCTACATGCTCATTATTGACTGAAGGTAGGGAGGGCAGTGTAGGGCTACCAGTGGAGAAGCCGGTCAACTGCTGTTTGAGGGATGCCGGCTAAGCACGGGGAGGGAGCATGGTACCCTTTCCCAGGCAGCAAAGCCCTGCTCTGGTCGCCTTGCCTGTGAGACAGCTACTGTCATTCCAAGCCCTGCTCAGGGCAGGCTAATGAAGGGTCCTTCTCCCAAGGCAAATATCCCCTACTATTCTGTCGCCCACGAAGTTCCTGGAAGAGGTTCAGGCTATTGGGGCAGAAGCCCAAAGGCCCCTCCAAGAAGAACATGACGGAGCCCGTTCCCCACAGCTTGTCAATGTAAGGTTTCATCCTGATGCTTCTCACCACATCTTCCCAATCCACTGGGAGGTCTGTGGGCTCAACATCCATATATACCCCCATTCTAACTACTTCTCCATCTCTATCATAACTAACAAACGATCTCTGGATTTGTAATGGATTATTACAATAGTCTTGTAATTTATTCTATTTCCACCCTTGTGTGTTCTCCTCACAGCAATGAGAATGACGCTTTTAAAATACAAGTTAGATCAATTAGCCATGTGTCCAAAACACATTTGCTTCACATCCCACTTAGATAAAACATTTGTTTAACTGTTTGGCACCCCATCTGGAACATTCATGAAAAGGATTTTGTTTCATTCACTGCTATCCTGGGATCTAGAACAGTACCCAGTTCATGGTTGAAAAACAATAAACATTAGTTGAGTAAACGAATGAATGCATTTGTGGGTGGGTGGGGGGCAGGCATAAGGGCCATTTTAACTATGGAACTCAAAAGTAAAGGGGTATACAAACTTTGGTGGAGAGTTTGAAGACCAGAGATTCTGAGCCTTGGAGGTCAATGAAGTTAAGGCAAAATGTGAACCAGCTAGAGTCATATCTTCCTGATAGAAAGATCAAGGGTGTGTTTATACCAGTCCACTGATCAAAACAAAGGAAGGGGCAGGAAGGCACGGTCATGAAATTAATGTCTTTGCTAACACATGTATTTTCCTTAAAAGAAACAATCTTTTCATTAGTACCCAAAGTGGGAACAGCCTACTACCAATGAGAAGACGACTTATTAAGAGTCCTAAATCCCTCTGGTAGGATCCAAAGAAGCCAGAGAAGACAAGGAAAGGAGGCTTGTTTCTGGACCTGAGCTCCTAGAAATGACATCTTGTAACAACTATAGAATAGTTGAGAATGTAAGTATGCCCCGTGTTATCACATTATCAAATAGCTGTCCAGTGCATACAGCTATTTCTTTATTCCATGGCATCCCTCAGGATCCTCCCCAAATTTCACTGACCCAACCTCACCTCCACTCCCAACACATCTCTGAAGTAAACTATAAGCACACCCAAACACCGGAGAAGAGGAAAGTCGAGTAGCTCCCTTGTGCGTAAACACTGCCTATCTGTTTTTTTCTAGATTTTTTTTTTTTTAAGATTTTATTTATTTATTTGACAGAGAGAGACACAGCAAGAGAGGGAACACAAGCAGGGGGG